ACTCGGTTCTCGAGGACACGGTCCATTGCCGCGCTGGCCTCATCCTGGCCCTCCAGCATCTCCTCATTACCAATCACCTCGCGAACATCCAGCTTGGCAAAGTAATCTGTGGTAAACTCGCCCTCTTGGATGACGACGTCGTCTAGCATCCTCTTCTGGTTCGCCTTACGGAGGATATTGGATTCAATGGTATATTCGGAGACGAACCGGTAGATGTGAACATCGCGCGTTTGCCCAATACGGTGACACCGATCCTGGCACTGTTTATCCATTGCCGGGTTCCAGTCCAGATCGTAGAAAATCACAGTGTCTGCACCCGTCAGGTTGATACCTAATCCGCCAGATCGACTGGACAGAATGAAGGCGAGAATGCGACTGTCATTGTTGAACCTGTCTGTAAGAATCTGGCGTTGCTCGACTTTAGTGGTACCGTCTAATCGGAGGTATCGATGCCCATGGATGTTGAGGAACTGCTCTAAAATATCGAGCATCTTAGTCATTTGCGTAAAAATTAGCGCCCGATGGCCTCCAGCCTTAAGATCCCGAAGTAATTTGTCGAGCCTTTGTAGTTTACCGCAGTCGTACTGCAGCAGTCTCTTGTCTGGGAACGCGATAGAAAGCCGCATTTGAGCTTCGTGAAACGGATCGTAGGGTGGAAATATCTCCCTTTTGGTTAAATGCCGGGTCTTGATCGGGGTTAGAGCGGCCTCGGCAATTCCAGCGGCGACCACAGCAGGGGTGACACAAGCAAATCGCTGAACATAGCCATCCATTACGTGCGAGCGTTCTTTGATAGACAAAATCAACGAGGCAAGAACAGATGACCGACTGGACAACCAGTCTGCCAGTGACCGCTTCCGCAAGGGGCCATTGGACGTCGGCCGCTGTTTGCTGTCTGCCGTGAGGAACTCAATGAGAGTACTTCCATACACAGGACGACGACCGTGCCGCTTCGACTCGAAATACAGGCATCGTTCTAACTCCGCCATCCTCCTCTTCCTACACTCATTCTCTAATACATCCAGTGTAGACTGTATGGTTGAACCGTCGAAGTTCATGTCCCAGTTAGTCCTGTGGTACTGTTGTTCGCGAAGCACATTAAAAGGACCGTAAGCCATGAGTCTCGTACTATCATCAGCCAGTCTTCGGGATATATCTTCCCTCGAGATAGGGACCAAGTTAAGAAAATCCAAATCAAGTCTGTCGAGCGGGTGTTCAAAGAGAAGTCGCCGGCGAATGAGAAGTTCTTTGATCTCAAATTCGGTAGCTACAGAACGTGACATCGCAAAGGATGTCGATATCGGCCGAGTTTCAAACAGATCCGGATGGTTGCAGACTTTCCGTAGCTGCATTAAACAATTAATGATAGATAGATAGTTCCCGGAAGCGAGAGTCTCCTTAGTCTGTGCTCTGGACATGAAACCATCATAGAGAAACCGTTGCCGCTTCGAGAGCCTGCAATAAATGACATGTTCGTATTTTGCCGGCATCTGCTTCTCGACATCGGCTTTAAGACGGCGTAATATATAAGGCCTCAAAACAGTGTGAAGTTTGGTGACGACTTGCTTTGCTTCATCGTCCATCGTCTCTCGGCCGTGTTCGAGTATTTGCTCGACCGGGCGTCGAAACCACTCCGAAAAATTCCTGAGATCTGCGAACCCCTCAATGCCCGTTTCATCGCCATCAGACGGCATCAAGAAAAACAGGAGCGACCAAAGTTCTGTCAGGTTATTTTGAAGCGGCGTACCGGTAAGTAAAAGTCGTGCCCGTGTTCTGAACGTTAGCAGTGCCTGCCACCTCTGCGAGCGAAAATTCTTGATGTTATGCGCTTCATCGAGAATCATATAATGCCAATTTCTTCTTTTGAGAACCTGCTGATCTTGCAGGACTAACTGATACGAAGTGATTAGAACATTCCAGCTCGTGTCATCCATCCAGCCCCTACGTTTCTGTCGCCGCTCCTCTTGGTTACCGTAGTAAGTCATGATTTTGAAACCCGGACACCACTTCTTGAACTCCATTTCCCAGTTAAGGATCACGCTTGTAGGAACAACAACAAGGTGTGGCCCCCATACTTCGTGCTCCACAGCCAGATGTGCGAGCAAAGCGATAGTCTGAATAGTCTTGCCAAGACCCATTTCATCAGCTAGGATACCATTAATATGGTTGGTATATAAACCAGCAAGCCAGTCCAGCCCAAAATGCTGGTATTCTCGCAAGGTTCCTCGGAGTAGATGCGGAATGGACGTCTTCAGCCCTGGAGCGGGTGATTCGCTGGGCTGCGCAGGTTTCTCTCCTGGTGCATCGTAAGATGACACAGATTCTGGGTCGGAAGGCTTCGTAGCAAGTGTCCCCGGAGATGCTTCACTAGAAGGCTCTCCACTCTGATAAGTTTCGCGCTGGTCTCGCTCCATGTCGCCTAGGGGCTCTGTGGGAGTATTTTCGTTCCGGATATTTGGGGTACCTGAATTATCAAGAATAGATGCATCCGACATTTCAGCATCTGTACCCTTGATGTCAGTGAGAACGTTGTCGACCATAGTAGAGTCTTTGGCAGCATCAAGGGGTGTTGAGTCTAGCTGTGCTGGTCCATTAGGCACCAGGGAAACTTCATCTGGGTCTTCCAGGTCCTCTTCCTCGGATGCGATCTTCGCATTGGCGCCATCGCCTACAACGTCATCATCGGAATTCTCATCATCAGCCTGAGGATCGTTGGCATTGAAAGGGGAGTCATTCGTAGAAAAGAATCCCAGCAACCCTGGGCCATCATCGCTCTCCTCATTGGAGTCGGAGCCATTTGAATCCTCGTCATCTTCGCTTTCTCCCATATCATCATCCATATCTGTAGACGCTTCGTCGCTATCATCCATGAGCACTGGGTCGACATCTTCGAGCTGAACTTCCTGGGGTGACAACTCTGCTAAAGGCACGTTCGCATCCCCCACATTGTCTACGAGATGACCAACCTGTGAAGTATCGGTATTTCTCGACGAAGCCGTGTCATCGGAAGCGTGAGACTCGTGGTCCGAATCATCATTGAGTGAAGAAAGGTTGGCATACTTTGACCGAAGCTCCTCTGCCGTTAGACCCTCATCGTCATCAATAACATTTTCATCTTCGCTTCCAGATTCCGTAGATGACATATTGCTTTCATTATCTGAGCCATCCTCAGAGGAATCGTCCGTTTCACCTCCTTCCTCATCGCTAGATTCTAGTGCATCACTTCCCGTTTCTCCAAGGATTTCCATTCGCCTTTTCTCGAAGAGCATAGTGGACTGCTTTATTGCACGGTCCAAGGCTTGCTGGTCTTCTGCTTTTCGTTCCTCCTCCCAGCGTGCCAGGCGCATCCTATCTACGTCTGCGCGAGCGAGGTCAAACATCTTCTGAAGGTCCTTGGCTAACTGTTTGCGCTTCCCACGCATCTCCTCTTGCTGTTCCCGAAGTATGTCCTCTGGGTCCTTGTTGCGTTTCCTCCACGCATCAGCACACCATTGAGCGAAAAGCTTTGCCGTATGGCGATGGCGTCTATGTTCTTGGTCAAGAAGTTTCTTGAAATACAACGCGTGCGCCACAAGATGGTCCTGGTGCGTATATTGAGGGAGCGGTTCGTCTTGCTGCTCCGGTAAATAAGCAGAGCATACTTCTGGGCTAAGAAGACCGCCAGGCTCAAGTGCTGTAGATATTCGACACCTCCGCCTTGCCTCCTCGAGCGCCTCCGATGGCGTGATAACTGCGTCATCTCGTACCCTTCCTTCCTCACTCTCGAGCCATTGTTTGAACGAGCCATACTTCCGAGGATTCAAAACGTGCGAAGGGTGCTGGATGCTGATAGATGGCCTTCTAACTTTGATTCGTAGCCTAGGGATTCGCGGCCCCCCATCTCCATCGTCATGTTCAATATCTTTGGCCCTTTTTCCAAAATCACTCGTTTCACTTGTCGCCTGAGCCGCAGAAGCATTAAGAGTTACGCTGGAAGTTCGAAGGAAGGCTGTTGAAGTACCAGAGCTTCGTGACCTCGTCCGTGCATTGGTTTCCTTAGAGACCGGAGACTGTGAGATACGTTGCTGGCTTCCAGCTATCCCTCTCGTTGACAGGCTTTTAGGAGATCCGTTGACTGCTGTTATGCCGCTAGCAGGCTTTCCATTCGTGTCTAAGCGAGATGGAGTCATCAACACTGACGGCGACGACGCAAATGTCTTTCCACCACCCAAAGCATTTTTACCTACTGATTGCTTCCGCGCTGCTCGTGTATGTCTTTTGTCTGAAGGGGGTTGCAACTCGAGGGGTAGCACATTGACTCTCGAAGACTTGCGTCTGCCATCCTGAATGAAGGATGTTGGTCCATCAACGCCAGCTTTTTTCCATGGAGCGATGCCGGCCTTGAGCTCGAGCGACGAAAAGTGGCCGATCCTGTAAGTCTCCGCTTCTTTGATGGCGGTCCTTCCGTAGTATCGGTTGTGACCTCATCTTCTTTGACCTCTGCAATGATCGAGTCGCGATTCGTAGGATCAACGAATGTTTGGGATGCAGAGAGTTCGGTAGGGGCAGGTCCTATTTCGGGGGTCACGCGTTCATCTTGATGTGAAATGCCATTCGGGCTGCCGTTTTGCATGTCTTGTAACCACTGAGACAGGGGCCCTCTTCACAGCTGACCCCGGTTTTCCCAACGAGGACACGGTTGAAGTAGGGAAGATTGGCATCAACGTGTAGCTATAGGTGAGTTGGAATGCCACAGCAAATTTGGCATAGTTATCGGCACTGTAGCGCGAGTACGGAGAGATAAACAACTCGGTAAATGAGAATGGGTGAAGAAGAGGTTTTTTCATATTGTGACGAAGAGTACAGAGCGACGTGTATGTAAGCGCGCCCGCGGACCCAAGCACTGAATCGATGCCTGAGGCATAAAATACCGGCCCTTGCCGCAAACCTCCAGTTAATCCGAACCCCGTCATCGTCGCTTTCACTTCATCTTTTGGTCTAGTGAGCCTTTCACCCCTCCCTTTGCCAACCATCAACCTCCAATTCTTTGCAGCAGAAGGGTTAGTACGACTTTTTGAATGATTGAGATTCCTCTATTCAAATCCTTCATACTAATGGCAACGAATAGATGCTGTCTCAGCGGTTTTTGACCCGGCGCCTGCCCCAGGTGGCCGTTCGTTATAACAACCCCCGCGCCTTTTTCTCTCAAAGCAGGATTCTTGCGGCTGCAGAGCTTGATGATCCTTTGCAGGTATAGCATCCCTACGATAGTCGTGTTTTATTCGGTACCAATTGACCCTGTTTGGTTTCAACACACAGAATGGTAATTACCAGAACCCTCCTCGCGTTAAGCGTGCCTTCAGAGACCCTCATGGCGACTGGTGGGACAAGCAAGAGAGACGGAATTTTGGAGAGCCAGTCCACGAGGAAAACGAAATTCTCGGGGTTTTCAGTCCTGAACAGTATACTCACGTTACGTCCCGTAAGGGCTTCTTCCACCTGGGCGTGTTCGTTGCAACCTTCCTTGGATTCTGTGGTATCGTGAGCTTCTACTATCCAGACAAGCCTAGCGTTCCCAGAACATATCCGGAAGGCTTGGAGAAGGAACTTGGAGGACCCAATGCTGTTAGCGTAAGTCCCTAATATATATCTCCCTGGCATACATTTTGCCTGGACGTTAAACTTACATTTTCATATTAGGCCCGCAAATCCGGCGAGGACTCTTGGTGATTGATTGATGTTTGCTTTCTTCCCCTGTTGTGTAAATAAGTACAGTACAATTCTCTTTTCGGCGTCAATCGAAGGTCTGATTGTCGACAATTTCAGGTGTGAGGGCTGCTCTTCACCGCTTGGCCTGTTAGCCTCCTGGCGCTCTTCAGCGTCTCAGCTTCTATTCCATACCCGGGCTTTTAGGCTGACGTAGGGTGTACATGCCCAATATCTAACCAACCTGCCTCAACAAAATGACGGGAATCAGGAGGAAGTGAAGATGATAGTCGAGGGGACATCAAACAATCATTATAGTGTACCATGTACCCTCTCTGTTCAAGGTTTCAGATGCTTTAAATGGGATTAAACGGAAACTAAAGAATAAACCCATCGCGTCGACACCAATAGCAATAGCGATCAGAAAATGCACACAACTTAAGTGTAAATTGGACTTAGAGATTCTCACAGCAAGGAATGTTATGCAGCTGACATGAGCGGCAACCTGCATAGCGTGAGTTGGAACTTTTTGCTTTATACTTAGTCTGCCCTACAGAGCACTACGTCAATTACTTGGGGCAGCTTTTTGTTTCAGGTGCAGAAGCGCCTCCCGCCAGCAACAACACAACACCCCTTTCTTCCTTTCTACCCACCGGCATTTTCCTACCAAGTCGCCCTCGTATCTGTCCCACCTCATTAATTCTGTGGCCTTGAAGAGCCCAGCGAATATAGTGTGATTTATTTCAGTTCAGCTGGCGCTGGCTGGTGGTACGATCTCTCTGTTTTATCCATGGTCCCGCTTTCCGTTCCCTTGCCCCCTCTCCCCGAACGCTGTAACATTCGGATAGAGAAACTCCTCCATGTCGACAGCATCTGATCAATCCCGAGGCATCAACCGACGGATTAATAGTATTCAAAATGATTCTCGCCACACGCGCACCCTTTCTGGGTCCCGCCGACGCCCTGTGAACCCTGCGACGGCCTACACATTTGCTCTCAGAGTCGCTTACCTCTCATACCTCCTTCAACCTCGTTCGCGCCGTGTACAAAATGTGCCCGCTCCTCACCAGCGGCCGAAGCGCTCGTCGACCTCCTTCCACGACCTTATGAGCGATTTTTCTCTTGTTAGGGATTCGAAGAGCACGCGGTTTCCTCACGGCTTCATAGCTGAACTTGAGAAGAGGTTAACGGGTGTCTTAACCAAGAAAGAGAAAAGAAAGGAATATCAGGACCCCTTGGTTGTCAGAACGTTCGCCGCATTCCTCAATACCCTTAAAGAGCAGTCATTTAAGAAGCGCATGGAGAAGGATCGGCGTGCCGAAGATCTTGTCCTTATTTTCTACTCAAATGCAACCAAGGAATTGAGTAAAGGCAAAGATCCAGATGATGACCACTGGAAATTTATGGTGGACAGGCATGTCGCACTCTTTGTCCGCCTGATTTCACATATTTTGAAAGATAATGACTGGGCGAAAGAACGACCGGAGCTGGCGAACCGATTATCGGTCTTGGAGAATAAACTCCTTTCCCAGGATCAGGACCTTGTGCAGTCTAATGGTCCGTCGACAGTGGAAGTTATAGTGCCTCTAAGCTATGATGTGAAAGACATGCCTCTAGTGCAACATGTTGCAAGGGTTTTCGATATAAGCACCGCTCAAGTGCAGTCCGACATTGACAAACACCGGGAGGTCTGGACTGCACAGGCGGCTCTCAAAGACCTCAAAGCCTACCAGACCCATCTCAGTTTGAATACTCGAAAAACTATGTCCAAAGAAGACTTCGAGAATGAAGAGGCATACGAAAACTGGAGGAAAAGTGAAGGCCCTGACCTATCCCAAATGATGCTTGCTATCGTGCAAGTGAACCCTGAGCTAGCAAAAAGCACTCCAGGGGGTGCGCTTCCACAGTTCAATGCAAATGTCGGAGACAACAATGATGCAGCCCCTGGCGATTTGTCAAAAACGAGTTCTGACAGGCCGATTTCATATGTAATCGATCAACCAGTGGATATCTGTTCGCTATCAATAGGCGATAACAACAGTGAGCCCGATGAATCTGACACATACACATACATACCACCAGACCCCCGATCGATGTATGGGTATATTTTGGCTCAAACTTTGAGCCATGACCTGAAAGATCGCGAAATTGAAGGCACACAATTTGCGTCTGAACTCCCGTCTATGAAGCTCCTCTCGAAGCAGTCAGCCGAGTTCTTGAACGAAGTTTGCCTTCGTTGGCGAATCCCCTTCTTTTCTAGGCTAGTGCTGTTCCTGGAAGTTGTCCGATCGAAATTTGTAGACAACGAGATCGACCTCGACACCCTTGATTCAGCATTTACCTATATCAAGGAGACACCATCATCGGAGAAAAAGCGCAGCAGCTTTGTGGCTACCGTTCTCTTTGACCGACACAAGTGGACTGTACACGATTTGCTCTCGATGCAGCAGTTACTCTCTTCTCTCCATGAAGCACTTCTGCGGGAACTATACGACGTCATGATGGACTGTTACGAAGGGAGACCTCGACCTATTGGTCCGGTAATGTATGTTCTAGAAAATCATATTCAGCTTGATCCCAGCTACACAGAGGATCTGGAGGATATCAACCGTTTTCGTTGTTACGTTCAAGATGGTCTCGCCCAGAAAGCAACAGAAAAGTATCAAGACCTACTCGGGCAGTATGTCCCAATGGATCAGGAGACCTGGCAATTCGACCATATCATTCAGCTTTGTGAGGCCATAACAAAACTTGCTCAAAAGATTAGAAAGCGCTACCGAAATAACCCGGAGATCATGGGGTAAGATGCAGTTATTTCAAATAGTAGTCTTCTACTCACAGAATACAGGGTCAACCCATACAAGATCTTGCTTTCCAACGTGTTGCCGATATTCGCAGAAGACGCTCATGAAATGGTGGCCCGAATCGTCGAACAGGGCAAGTTGAGAGGGGAGGAAATCCCAATAGAGGATGGTTTTGATTTATATAAGCAACTCACGACTATACGTCAACTCTTCATCGAGGCACTCCCTAGGTAGGACCATCGCTGCTAATGCAAAATGTCGATACTAATGTGAAACCAGCGCTCCTTTCCCATTCCGTGTTGAGGATTTGCTGGAAGAATTTGTCTGGCGGTGGATCCGCATGACAGAGGAGAAGATTACAGAGTGGGTTGAGCAGGCTGTCAGACAAGATGCCTTTGCCGTCCGATCTGATGACTCAATGGAGATGACCCCAGAGGAGCATCGGCACAGCGTTTCTGTTATAGACATATTCCGCTCATTCAATCAAGTGGTAGAGCAAATGATTCAACTCGGGTGGGACGATGACTTCCAGTACGCGAAATTCATGACTGCATTGTCCAAATCGATTTCAAATGGCCTTGCAAAGTACTGCGAGTCGTTGGAGCAGATGTTCGCGCGAGAAATGGACAGGCTTTCGCCAGATCAAGAGGCGGCTTTGAATCAAACAGCCCAGGAAAAGCTGATGCAAATCGCCAAAGAAGCGTGGGCGAGCAAAGAGAAGATTGAGCCATTCCAATTCTTTCCTGAGGTATGTCAGCTCCTGTTTTATCCCTCTTCACCCCGCACTCTCAGTCTGTCTTTTTATTGCCTGGTAAGGTTGTTTTGCATAGTTGACGATTTCATAGTCACTGGTCAAACTGAACAATGTTGAATATGCCCTTACCCAGCTTGACAAGCTAGAGCGTGAAATAAACGTTGATGGCTGTGCAGATGTTATCGCCAAGCATGCCCCTCCACAGATGCAGAAGATGCGCAGATCAACAACCTATGTCTTCACAATTAAGGTCGTAGAAGCTGAAGATTTGAAAGCTTGTGATATGAATGGGGGCAGTGACCCATATGTGGTGCTGACAGACGAATATCAGAAGCGCATTGCTAAAACTCGTATCATCTACAACAACCTCAATCCACGATGGGATGATTCTGTTGATATAACAACACAGGGTCCTTTAAACATCATTGCAACGATATGGGACTGGGACGCAGTGGGCGACCACGATTATGTCGGCCGCACTTCTATAAAACTGGACCCTTTACATTTCAGTGATTTCTTGCCGAAGGAATATTGGCTTGATTTGGACACACAGGGCCGATTGCTACTCCGTGTCAGCATGGAGGGAGAACGGGACGACATACAATTTTATTTTGGTAAAGCCTTCCGCACATTGAAACGTACGGAGAGGGATATGACACGCAAAATCACGGAAAAGGTAAGTCCAAACACACTCCAGGGTTCTGGGCTCTGAATAACAAGTATCGTCAATAACACAACCAATAGCTATCTGCTTATATCAGCCATTGTTTATCGCGTCGAACCCTGAAATCCTTACTATCGCGTGGTCTCAGTATCTCCAGTGTTTCAAACTTTCTTAGCCGAAATAAGGCGCAAGCTACTGCCACAGGGCCATCAAACGCGGATGTGGAGAATGCACTAACTCCGCTTTTCGACTACTTTAATGATAACTTTGCGATTATGAACAAGACCTTGACATCTGAAGCTATGAAAATGGTTATGGCCCGATTATGGAAAGAGGTTCTCAGTACTATTGAGTGCTTGCTTGTACCTCCCTTGTCCGACAAGCCATCCCATCAGAAACCTCTCACCATGCAGGAGGTTGATATAGTCTCACGCTGGCTCGTGCTGCTCTTGAACTTTTTCCACGCTATCGATGAGGAAACCGGTGAAGCAAATGGGGTTTCGATTGATATCTTGAAGTCGCCCAAGTATCACGAAATCCAATCTCTTAACTTTTTCTACTTTGAACCCACCGACAACCTCATTCGCACATCTGAGAGGATGGCCTCGGCAACCATATCTCGCAGCAGGCCAATAAAAACCGAGCATCCGCGCCGGCCCATCTTGGTTCTGGAGGATCGGGCGGATTCCTCGGTGTTCCTGGTGCTCGGCGAGCCAAGAGCATCATGCTCTCGCGGAACCTGGGCACAATGAAGAAGATGAAGGAGGAGAAATGGCGCGAGGCTCAGGCCGAACCAAATGATGACATGATCTTGCGAATTCTCCGAATGAGGCCAGAAGCTGCTGGCTACCTTCGTGATCGAAGTCGTCAGAAAGAGCGACTCGCAGCTGCCGCGGCTGCGGATGCCATTGTGAAACAAAGCCTGATGGCTGGTGGGGGAAGGATGACGGGAACTTTGGGGCGACGATGACTGCTATGAGGACGTTTATTGTTTTACACTGAGTCTGTTTTTACCTTTGGAAGTGTGTTCCAGCATCGCTTGGCCATTTTTTATGCGCGTGATGATTCCCACACCGTCTGTTTTAAGTTACGATGCGCTTGTTGTCTTCAGGTAGTATTTACAGGGTTCCTACTTATAATGAATGAGACACTAATTACCAATGAATGGTCATCCGGGGTAGTAGTAGGCCGGGCCCCATTTAACACTAATCACATTTGATTGCATTTTGATTTGTATGCCATGTAGAAGAAAACGTTTTGATTTACTCCAGAGCGATGCACTCAATCTCTACAGGCACACCCTTAGGGAGCTGGGCGACAGCAACACAGCTACGAGCGGGCTTATGAGTGAAAAACTTCTCATAGGTGGCGTTCATCTCGCGAAGTTCGCCATATCAGTAAGGAAAACCTGGTAGAGTATCTCGGTCAGCCACAGTCTCCTCGCGATTTGAGGATAGAGATCAGAGAAGGGTAGGACGGTTGTTGACCAAAGGAGAAGAAGGGGAGGTAGGATAGTAAAGGCAAGGAAAGTTATACGCACGTTGACCTTGACGATCTTGTTGACGCTGGAACCAGCAGCTTCAACAATAGCCTTAATATTGTTGCAGCAAGCCTGGGTCAACTCTCCAATGTTTCCGGTGACAAGGTTTCCAGAAGCGTCAGCGGGGATCTGGCCGGAGACGAAGATCTGGCCATTGGCACGGACGGCTTGGGACTGTAGGATAATTGACATGTCAACAACTTTCGACGCCGTGGTTTGGGGTGGGGTGACCATGGGGAAGAGAAAGGAAATATGTATAGACGGTTTGCTGTTCGGTTGGGAGACTTACGTAGGGGCCAGCAGCTGCGACGAGTCAACTTGTTAGCTTAATCTTGTATGGTCTGTCCGGGCGACGGCAATTGAATAGTAACAGGTATCTTATACAAGGGCGGGATTGATCGAGGGCAGTTGGGATGGGGAAGATGACTCACGAGGACAAGCAAGGGCGGCGGAGATGGGAGTCATGCCAGACATATTGACGATTTGAATGGGGAATTGAGGTCGGAGGGTACGAGGAAAAGAAGAGGTTAGTGATGAGGAGAGAAGCTGAGGGTGGGCAATTCGAGCGGAAAGAACACGAGAGCTGATCCGCAACATGTATGGAGGGGTTGAGTCCTATTTATTTGGATATAACAGAAGTATTCCGCGGGAAAGAGTGTCCTTGGGTGATTGATGGTCGGAGATGGGGTTCTTAATTTCGACCCCTCCCGACATAGGTGGGGCTTCTTGTCTTGTTCCCAGAGGGCGTTTCTTTTCCTTCTTGCAAGGTACCAAATACGTCCAGTAGATTCCCCGCGGGCGAATTTCTATACTAGGCTTGTATCAATGGGGTTTCGTTTGTTGAACTATGTAAAGATATACGTAGGTATGGACATCCCGGCATATATTTAGAGAGTATATATATACGTATACATATTATGCGATAGTATTCTATTATCTTGATCAAAGGAGTTTAACCCTTCGAGTTATGTTTATTTTCTTTTATTTTTATTTATTTATTTATTTACATATCCCCCCCATTCTCGAATGAAATCATCTGTCCCAAGGACGGTTTATGATAAAATTGCCCAGAAAGAGGCGGGCCCGCAAAGAGGAATTAATTCCATATAGAAAGCATATAAGTCTTGACGTCGACAATATCTTGGGAATGATCGACAACGCGATCGAGCCAAACTTCCCCCATGATTTAACTGTACATAAACGAACAGGGATCGTCAAATTTCATGCTAACACAGCACATGGCCCACCCAGGCCAAAGGAATAAACCTCGAAACAAAAACGGCAGACATGGTCGACATAGTACAAGCCCATCTCATAAGCCTCGGATTTCACCAATCCATACCTCCATTAAAGCCATCTTTGTGACCTCCTTCATATCGCTGCTGGCCTTGATTTCGAACCAAACCCTCTATGGCGGCCATATTTTACTCCCCCAGGTACTCTTCCTCCAACAAGGTCATCAGCGCAGGAATTGCGGGCCATACTTGCTCTTTGCCCACAGCGAGCTATGATATCAGTACCGGTAGGGCCGCATGCTTCCCTTCATTAGGAGGTATATGGATAGCTGAGCTTAGCGCCCTTGAACTGCAATGCCTGAATATTGACCGCTTCAACTCATCCGAGAGATCCTGGGATCGCGATGAAGAGAACCATTTCTGCGAGCAACTTCGATCATTCGGGGGTTCCTGGTATCCTTCACATCTTTCAGATGGGTTATGGATCGATGGAAGGTGTAGTAAGCTACACAAGCTAGAACCAACATTGTCGGTTTTCCGTCGCATTGGTTACCCCGAGGGAGGAGGCGTATGGGTTTTGGGTATCCACAGCGAACTCTCATCCAATGAGACAGCAGTGCGGAATGCCCTGACAATGGAGGAACGGTGCATTGTTCTAGAGAGACTGGGGGCCATCTTCTGTAAAGATATCAAGTGTTGCTCGGCTTTAACTGATCCTTCCAAAGAACCACACGAGCTGGTAAAAGAGAGGATGAGATCGAGAAACCTGGAGACAGCAAAGCATGTATCTTAGCTTTACCCCTAGATTTGAGTAGCCCATACATAGTATACTGGGATTGACTTGTTATTTCCGTGAAAAGCACCGTGTACCACTGGAAATTGATGTTCATATGTCGAGCTGGCCAAGGAGGTATCGGATTTCCAGCGAGGATTATATACAAGGTGAAGGCATTCCACTGGTATATACACTCAGGATATGTAGGTACATAAGGCCGATGAAGTGGCAGATATATGTCCTGATAGTCATGGCGTCGTCATCACATTCATCACAGCTAGGACATGAAACATAGGTGAACGTCAGCAACAGTTACAAGGCACGATCCATGGATATCACTGTTTATTGATATGAGATCCCAATTGCTGCAAGAAAGAAGAAGTTTGCTCTGGGGAAAAGCCAAAGAATACAGGACCGTTGAATACGATACTGGCCGGCGAGTTTGTTGGGGGAGGATGAGCGTGTGTATGTTCTCCAAAATCCTGCTCCGCAGTGTCAATGGTTCCGTTCTTCTTCCCATAATCGCGAATTGTCTCTGTCTCCGGTGCTGTATTGACGGCTGGAGCTGCGCCATGGCCGAAAGGACAACGACCAGATTTGGGTACCGTAGAGTCACGGGGCGGGATGGAAGAGACTCCGATAGCCTCTTCCTCCGAGGGCTTCTTCGAGTTCTCAGGAAAGGCCGCCGCCGGTGGAGGAGAAAGTGGAGGCGATGCTGAAGGAGGCAAGGGCATCGGGACAGGAATTCCCCAAGGCCTGCTTGGAGATTCACCAACGCGGACCTCGCGTAGCGGACGGTCAAAGCGGCCCTCCCTCCCATCGTCGTTCTCTGTCTCGCCCTCTTTAATAGAGGGTTGCATCTCCGGATTTATGCCAACCTCTTCTGCCCACTTTTCCACTCGTTCGGCAGAGGAACTGGATGTTGGAGCGCCGCTATTACCACGGTTCGGAAGGAACGCTTGATGTTTGACGGATAACCCTCGAATCATATTAATGAGACTACCATATTTTGCATCTAGATGCCGCATGCTATGGGAATCCTTCTGATAACGCTGGACACAAATTGCATGACTTCGGGGTATTTCGTGTTTGTGCCTTTCAACATAGTCGGCAATTTCTTCCGGGCTATGTTGGTCTAGGTATCTAATAGGGCACCGAGCAACAGGACATTGGGTGGTCGATGTCCTCACCGAAGGAGTCTGACTAGAACGCCTATCATTTCGTTCGGCCTTTATTGGGTCTAAACTTTCGTGTCCACACGTGTCATCATTCTGGATGTTGAAAGGATTCTCAATCACATTAGCCACCCCATTATCATTAGACGTCATATTCTTAGACTTTGCGAATGGGCAGTGCAGATTTCCCTGAGTGCCTTTGGTGGTGAAGTCTTTTTCTAAAGAGCCAGGAGCTCCGGCCCTAGTGGCAACAAGACATGGATTGGGCTCAGGGTCACTCTGTGAATTCAGGACAGATTTGTAACACACCACCCCGTCCGCTATTGGTTTCAGAGTCTGGTCGCCTACATTGCCAGACTCTGCTAGTGTTCTTACTACGTCGGGAGGACTAAAAGACGCAGACTTTTGGTTCCCGAATTCGGACGAGTGACCGCGAATCCTTTCTGAGACGATCTTGGCATGAGTGTCAAGACCGCCGGGAAGTCGACCTGCGAGCTTCATATACTAGTGTGGCCATTAGCACAAGGATACGCTTCAAGAACACGACCAAGGTAGAGAACATTGTTGTTGATATGCCTCATCAGATAATACATGATATGTCCGTCACCGCCGCAAATGCGACTCCTGATCTAGAGCTAATCGATTTTTCTCATCATTTGAGGCAGAGGGGTAGAAGGGCTTGTGTGGAGTTGACAAGGGGAAGAGTGCCTACCTCATCATAAGCATATTCCAGCTTCTGTTGCAAGATATTCTCCTTGCAGATAAATTGCTGAGTGGTTAGCAAAAGAGCTTCGAAAGCTTTCGCCAGGGTCTGAAGTTGTGGATCCTGCTGCAGAGAGGCAGCGACAGGTGCAGGAGACATAGTGCTTTGAGCAAGGGCGATTACAAGACAATACACATCACATCTGAGAGTTAAAGCTTAAGTAGCACTTCTGCACTGAGCAGAAGTGCAGCTTGAAAGTCATGAGGTAAGATGGCGGGAGAAAAAGAAAAGCGGAAGATCACTGCCTGGAGACATACGAAGAATCGTTAAGCGAGGTGGACCGTGCAGCAAGCACGTGACATATGATTACAAACTTTGGAGTAGTGAGTAACTATAACTGTATTCAGCACAGTGTAAGTATTCTTCTTTATTATATATTTAACAAAGTACGGCATCAACAAATAGCCGGGCTAGCTCAATCGGTAGAGCGTGAGACTCTTAGTCGTCACGGTATCTCAAGGTTGCGGGTTCGACCCCCGCGTTCGGCTGTTCTCTTTTGCCTCCTGATCCTCTAGCAACATATAGGGACAGTGGCTTCTTTTCTGTTCTTTGTTCTTGTTTTTGCCTTACTTAGATTTTGTGACTGACAATATCACATTGCGAGGAGCATACACTGTAACACGCAATACAGTAACAAGGAGCTGCTGTAATGCCTCGGCGATACAACCTGGAAGGTATGTAGTATGCCATACGGGGTGGAACCGTTGGTCCCAATAGGTTCCAGGCTCATCGGGCACCGTTGTGGTATATTCGGGGTTGCATATATAGTATTGATTTCGTTGCAAGAGCCAGGGGGATCGCAGCGTAGACAAAGCCATACAGGTATATGGACATCCGTGCGGCGTGGTCAACGGCATGCATTGGCAGTGGCTACCTTGGTGCTGCAGGTGGCTGCAGATGTTGAGCTGCATTGTGGGGGAGGTGAGCGGTATTCCTCTATTTCTGAGTTATGATTAGTCGGAATCCATGTGGATATGTTGCAGTCAGGGACACCGTCATGCAGCCTGAGACAACAGGCAGACCTCCATGGGCTACATTCGAAACTGGCTCGGGTTTTCACCAAGGAAATGGTTGGGTGCTCTCTATAGATATATTTCTCGATCTTTACAGTTACATATAAGCTGTGTTCTGTCGGGTTTCTTTGGATATTTGAATACTGTTTGTGAATGCACCGATATCAGCTATTGATATCAGGGGGCTTAGACAGTTGGGGGAGGAACCAAAGTACAATAGTATTCGTTGGTGAATTCAGGAACCAGGGCCGAAAACGATCCGGGAAATCCGAGGGTTGCATGATATCCCCAACCTAGTAATAGCCGATATGGCACTGTCACGTCACACATGAAGCATGAAAATAGAGACACTCATATAAGTAAGGTGCATTACGAGTGTGAGACAATAATGTGGCAAATCGCTTGACATGAGGCCATGGGACAAACCTCCGTCGTCCACGATCTATATTGGTAACGCATACTTCATCTCGCAGCAGCAGAGCACGCAGTAGTTTGTATTCATCGCCTTGGGCATGTACCAATTTAGCGTGATCTGAGTTGCCATTTGAAGAGAGGGACTGGATCTGTACAGAGAGCAATTCCGACTATTATGGTTAATATGATTAATCGTCGTGATTAATTTTTTACCGGTTTGACTCACTACGGATCGGAGTACTACCTGGAGTACTCCGTATGGTGGGCAGCCTGGGCATTCGGTCTAATTTCCAGAAAAGTATATTGGTGGTAAAGGATTGCATGGAACCCAGATAGGGAATGATAGTCCAATCATTCCTTACCCGGGGATCCATCGTGGCTTGTTGATCCAATCCACTACTTGATAACCCTGACCGCATGTGTGGATTGTTGTCGTGTAATCCGCCGATATGTATAACAAGATTAGTGTTATATCCACGTAGAATTGAACCGTTCATGTTGAATCCTGAAGGTCTTTGTTTCATTCATCGATACGGTTAGGCTAGGCAACACTACTCACTATCCTCCATTTTGCTGCCTATAAGGGAGTGCCACTGAAGGGGGAAATGAAAAAAGAACCTGGCAGACTTGGAGGCAGCGCGAGAAACTTGCATCATCGCTCATGGGGAGGGGTGGAAACACTACCAGTATTAGCATGTACATACATATAGTTATCATGAGACCATTCGTCTTGACAAATGGGAGTAAATAAGGTAACAACATGGGAAACAAGGAACAATGAGTAGACTGGTAGTAGCAGTACTGTAAACATGTTAGCATCAATTGATTTATTGTGAAGTGATTGATTGATTGATGGATTCTAGACCCTTAACAACGAAACAAGTCATCATGAGGGGTACTTTTTCTAGGTTCCCCTGCATGTATTTGTGGTATTATGGCAAGCCAGATCAGAAAAACGCGATAGTTAATCGACTTCAGTATTGGTAATTTGACCCCCTCAGTCTGATAGTGATAAATGGACAAACAGAGATCTATAGATTGACTTTCCAATTGAAATCAAATCAAATGATACACATCTTCAATACAATTTCAGTAATGCTCGGTCGACTGTGTTGAGAGGGGTAGAGCTCTTTTCGCTGAAATACTGTAAAATACGTCGGCATTCGCAATTCATACGCCAACGCAAGATCTTCGAGGGGTCAATTTTTTCTCTTTTTGGTTTTGCTTTTTTTTTCTTTTTTCCCTTGTCCCTCCCGCTCGTGCTTATCACTTTGAATTGACATTTTACTTTTCAACCACCCTCACCCTCCTGTCTTTTATTCCTTCTTCTCTTTCTCTCTCTCTCTTTTCTTTCCTCTTTTCTCATTATGTCTCAACCAACTCCTAACCCTCCTGATGCCGCCGCCGCCGCCCAAGTCGCCGGACAGTCCCCCTCCTCTTCCTCCCCCACCGCCGAACTCGCCAGTCTTAAAATAAGCCTGCGCGCCGCTCTCCGCCAATTCCCCGACTTCCCGTCTCCTGGAATACTCTTCGAAGATATTCTACCCATCTTTGCCAATCCTACTTTGCACGAAGCCCTTCTTCGCAGCCTCGAGTTGCACATCCTTCAAAACCACGGCAACCAGAAGCCTGATGTTATCGTCGGTCTCGAGGCCCGAGGCTTCCTTATCGGCCCCAGCCTTGCTTTGAGACTTGGCGCGAGCTTTGTCCCTGTGCGCAAGCAGGGCAAGCTGCCCGGACCATGTGCAACCCAGGCCTACGAAAAGGAATATGGCCAGGACTTTTTCCAGATGCAGGCTGATTCAATCAAGCCTGGCCAGAAGGTGATTGTGGTGGACGACATTATTGCAACTGGTGTGTATTCCTCATTCTATATATAGACATTCTTTCCTTTTCAGGAATAAATAATACTGACTATATCCCAACAGGCGGTTCCGCCTGGGCAGCGGGTGAACTTATCAAGAAGATGGGTGGCGAGCTCATGAGCTTCCTTTTCATTCTCGAGCTCGAATTTCTTAAGGGACGGGAAAAGCTTCCTGCTCCGGTCTACACTCTCCTCTCCGGCCAAGAAGAAAAGCATTAATTCACAACCAACGACACTTGCTTTCTGTTTACCTGATCATTATGATTGTGCTGCCCGTAGACGGGTCTCATTGTAACAAAGAAAACAGAAAAAATACGCATGTTTCCACTTCCCTGCACCCAGGCGCTCAGGGTTGAATCTCGACTGGTCGGGACATTGCAGCCATGACTATGAAATGGGCTGCATCTCATCGGATGGACTGTATGTCACAAGAAAATTAGAAGCACAATGCCTGCCTTACCGGGCTTTTCGCGCTCGTGAGAGTTCACCTTCGCTCGTCAGATGGAATACCGGGATAGACGATGTCGGGACAATGACCTACATCATGCACTTTTTCCTAGGGCATGCAGGGGAGAATGCGTATACACTTTTATAACACGGTTTATTGCTGGAGCATATGGATAGCGATACTATGGCAACTTGTCATTACATCGCATGTGGTTAGAAATAAGGTGTACCGTTGTAATCATCTAGTCATCGAGTCTTGTCTATTTGCAAACATCATGCGAAGTGCTATCTAGGAAAGGAAAGTGACACCAGAAAAGACCAATGACAGTCTAATTCAAAGGGATAGACTTTCTCATCACATCATCCGCCCACTTTTTTGGAAAGCCCAAAGACTCGGCCTCGCGGATCGCACGGTTCATGCGCGGAATATACTCATCTCTCGGGGGACCTACCCGCACCCTCTCCTCATCCACATAGACTAAGGTCTCGATAACTCCGCCCTCCCTCCGTTTCCTCTGTTCCTCATCCAACCACACCGTCACCGTAGCCGGAACATACCACTTGTTATAGTCCCCATGACCTTGCTCCGTCGGTCGAATATGCGCAGGAACCTTATGTGTACTTCGCGACGGCAACGCCGAACGGTCAATACCCTCGTAGCCATCAAGTAACCTCTCATCCTCGATGTCCATCTCATACAAGACACCATAAACCGTATCCTCGTCTCCAGAAACAGGTACATCTTCACCCTCATCTGCTTCCCGGCCAACACGTAACTCAGCGGGCGGTACCACATTCGCATAGCCAGCCTGGCAGATCAACCAGCGCCAATGATCCAGGCGGGCGATGGCGACCGGCTTGGATGAGAGATCAGGGTCGCATGTGCAACGGAGACGCATCTGTGTGAAGGAGAGGTTGGAGCCGTAGGCGAAGTAAAGCGGGCGGGGTTTGGTTTGCTGCGGGGTTGTTATCCCATTGTCCGAGGGGAAGGGGTTGGTCGTAATCGTGATTGTTGTATGAGCTGTCGGATCAAGTTTGACATCGCGTTGATCGAATGTTGGAGGTGTAACATGAGTTGTATCCTGAATATGCATCTTGAATGCTCGTTGCGGATGTTATATAGCGCCTGAAAGATAGATTATCAAGTCTGCTATGCTCGAACGACTAAGTCGATAAAGCCCGAAAAGAATAAAAAGGGTGGAAGTATAGTCAAGAGAATGTCAAGTAGAAAGAATAGTTGGAGCAAGGGAAAATCAAGCATGCATTTAAATATGCGGAGGCCCCATCCGATCGATGGCAAGTGGAGATATATTTATTTTGTTTTCGGTTCCTCCAGATGGAGCCCGGGGCTGTGTGGTTTC